AAAAATTAAAAATCATATGATACTTCGTTAAATTAATTCAAATTAACATATAAAATATTTTTGTTTTAAATGAATGTAAAAATTTAGAGAACACTAAAAGAAAATAAATTAATAATTTTATTATGTTTATCCTATTAATTTTTATCATTTTATTCCTCTAATTTTAAATAAGTTGCAAAAAATTATAAAGTGACACTTAAATATTTCTTTAGACACAAATAGAAAAAGAAAAAGTTATTACACTATTTATAAGACAATTGAATTTTATAAAAGTAAATAATTAAAATTTTTACCATAAAAAAATATTTTTCAAAATTATTATATTTTTTAATAAAATTAATAAACAATATTATATTCTCAGTCTTGGAACGGGTCGTTCTGAATTCAGAACGGGCCGTTCTGATGTACTGATGGTGTGTTAATTTTGCATCTAGAACGGCCTGTTTCAGATTCAAAATTAACACACCAAGAGTGCATCCAGAATGGCCTGTTCTGATTTCAGAACAGGTCGTTCTGGTTCCAGGTGTTTTCACAAAATTTGGTGTTCACGTGGAATCCACCTATGTATCTACGTGACATCCATGTTGCCAATAATTAATTCCGTTTAAATAATTTGGATAAAAGTCCCAAATTGAAACCAATTAATTTACAAGGGACCAAATTAAGACAAAAAATAAAAGTGAGACTAAATTGAAACAAACAATTATTATAAGAGATGAAAATAGGTTTTTAGCTTAAAAAAAAACTTAGAAGCTAGCTGGCATTTAACAACAAAACGAAGTAAAAGAAAAAAAGAAAAAAAAAACACGTTTCTTTGGGAATTTCCAAGCGCGGGGAGTTGAATCATCTTTGAAATGAGAGATACGTTATTTCCTGTTTCGAATAAAATTATTGAAGGGTGTCAAAATTTTAAAATTTTGGAAACTGTTTCAGATTTTTTTTTTTCTCGGAAGATATCCTCTTGAAATAATAAGGGGTGAAAATACATGATCATAATTCAAACTAAAACGTCTAATGATAAGTGTCTTCAAGAACTATTTTATATAAATAAAAAATTAATTTTCTCTGTCATGATTATATTTTAAGATTTTTATATGTAAAATAAGGATAATAATAAATGTATCCTTTTTTTTATATATTTTACTAAAATGATCCCCTCTTAACAAATGTATTATTTTGAAATGAAGTGATTAAATAATTTATGAAAAAATAAATAAAATAATTAATATTACATTTAAAAGTGAAAATACTATTTATTTTAAGGCTTTTTTAAATACTAAAATATTGTAAGACGGATGAATAAATAAAATAAAAGACAATAGTAATTTAAAAAAATTAATTTCATGATTTTTTTACTGTAAATGATACAACATAATAACTAATTTCTAGAAAATAATATGGAGAGTGTATATAAAAATAGGTACTTAATATTACATTAAAAAATTAACATGATATCTATTTTTAGATTTACTTTATTTTTTTTCAAACAAGACACTAATTTTAGAATGGAGTAATAAATACTTAATTTTTTTTTATAAAACTTAATTTGTCTAATTCCAAGATAATTCTGTTTTCTTGTGCAATAGACTTCAACATAATTATTTAATTACTTAAGATTAAGAAAGTTGATAAAATAAAATTTATCTTATATTTATATTTTATTTTAAAATATCCCTAATACTAGTATTAATGAAACACTTCACCGATTACTTATTAAATTAAAAAATAACATTAATTAAGGTTTTTTTTGTAAAATAAATTGATTTTTTTAAGAAAGATTATTATTTTTATATATAAGTCTTATAAAAGAAAGACCGGATGAAATATTAAAGAGTTAAAAATATTTTTTTATAAATATTATTAAAAATTAAATATGTTATAGATAAATTATTTATATAATAAAATTGTTGACTTTTATAATAAAAATAAATAATTTATACTAATATATAAAAGGGATACTTTTTCGGTAACTACCTTAGTCTCTATTTTTTTATACCATTATAACCTTTTATTTTAAAAAATTTTTTAAAATATTTTTTTAATCAAATTTAAGAACTTTCAACTAATGAATTTATACTAATACTAATATATAAAGGGGATACAACTTTCAATGACTACTTTTGGTTTCTATTTTTATATAAACCATTTTATCCTTTATTTATTTTTCAATAACCACCTTTTTTATTAATAACTTCTCATTTTTCCCCTTTTTATTTATTTTTTCTTTTAATATAATACAGACACAGAATACCTTTTTCCTGCTAGTACTCATAATATCTATATAAATGTTTTTTATACGTTATAACGTAGTTTCATGAAAAATAATGAGATAAATTATTATGTATTGTAAGTTATATATATTACCTGCAATAATAGTAATATCAAAGATTTTTTTGTTTTTACAATCAACGAAATATGGTTTCTAATTACTAGTTGGTAGTATAGGCTTTTTTATGGTATTAATAATACATGTTAATCACTTTAAATTCAGTTATTAATGTTTGTCTCATGAATTTGAAAACATATTCTGTGTCATTTATAACAAACATTTTATTATGAATTTGGATTTAGTGACTATCCAAACATTTTTTAATAGACTACTGCTTGGGGTGGATGATAAGAAATGGACTTTGTTATAGGGATGACAACGAGGCGGGTTGGATACATGTTTCATGATATTCGTCTTTGTTTTTGCGAGTTAAATTTATCTCCGTCTCCATACTCGTACTTGTTGAGTATATTATTTTCATCTTCATCCTTGTCCTTGTTGGGTATCGGGTATACATAGTGACGGATTCAGAAATTTTAGATAGTGGAAGCAATACTTATTTATATATTTGTAGTATTACAAATTTTACATATATAACTTTTAAAAATATAAATATATTATCATAATTAGTTTTTATAATTTTTTATATTTACGATTACAAGTAAATATGAAAATAAATTAGGTTAGACTAAATTTTATTATAACTTAATAGGTTTGAACCTAATTTTTTTAAAAAGTATATATCCTAAAAATGACTTATTTATCTATTATAGACATTTTTTAAATTTTTGGTTAGAATTGTAACCCTAAAGACCTACTTTATAATAATTCAACACTATTAAAAATATAAAATAAATATGTTAAATTTTATAAAAATCAAGTTTAATTTATTTATGATATAAACATGTTTTTAATATCTAATATGTATTTTTAGATGATAATTTATTTTATATTTTATAATAACAATTATAAATAGAATATAAATCTTTCGATTTTTCTTATTTTAATTTTTTTAATCAATATATGCAATAAGTAGAAAACACAAAAGGTAAATTAATTTTATCATACTGCAAATTTTATTTTATCAAAAATTGATTTTTTTAATATATTACATTATATATGTGAGTATTAATATATATATATTATAATTAAATATTTTAAGAAAATTAATTTGTTATTAAGGAGTATTTTATATCACATAAGAGAATTAATTTCCTTCAAAAATTTGACCGATATCAAATAATAAATCTCTTCTACAAATCTATATTTTATTCATATAATAATTTAAATATATATATTTATTTTATTAAAATATATTTTTTATTTTTTAAAATATTATTTTTTAAAATAAAAAATATGTATGTGTGAAATAATAGTAGAGCAAGTGCCCCCACTACTCTTAACTTGGATCCGTCCCTGGATATACCCGTACCTATATTCGTACCTGTCATTTTTTTTTGTAAAAATATATAATATTTTTAAATTATTTTATTATTATGTTATTATTATAATTAAATTATTTCTCTACTTCATATTATAATAAATAATCATACATAAAAAAATATTAATTTTTTTTAATATAATTAAATTAAAAGTAGATATTAAATTAAAAATGAGAACGAATACAGATACAGATACAGAACACATACCCAATTTAAGTTTTACACTGTACCCATACGCAATCAAACCAGATTTTCTCTATCAAGTATTACAGGAATATATTTGTCATCCTTACTTCGTTATCATCATTCCGCGTGCAGCCATACAAATTTGAATAAAATGGCGTTGCCTTCTGATTCGTAACTTGGAGAAGCAATCTGGGCCGTCTATTGCAACGTGCAAGCATAATCTACGGAAGCAAAGGCACTGAGTGACACCATTTCCAATATGTTGCTGAATTTTCTTCATTTCTTAACTATGAAGCATCCTTAACTATATAACCAAAAATCCCCCCGCATTTTTCCATATCTGCGATTTCTCTTCATCTTTAAATCAACCCTATACACTTTGGGACTACCAAGTTTACAATATGGTGGGTAATTTTCATTCCATTTCTTCTCTTAATTTTGAAACCAAACTCCTTATTTTCATCATTTATATGCATTCTTTCTTAATCCACAAGCTACTTTTTTTTTTTTTTTTAAGTGTTTAACTTTTATATGGTATAAATATCAGACTATAATCAAAGAGTTTTTTTTTTTGTTTTTAAATGGTTATACTAAAATTACAATTTATAATCAACTTTTAAGATAGTATATGATATCCATGGTCCGAGCATACATGTACAACTTATGTGTCCAAATTGTTCATATTGGGCCAGCCCAATTTAAATATGTTCTATATTATTTATCAATTTATTCATTTAAAATAAGTTAGTCAATAAGTAATATTTTTAAGCTAAAATAATCAAACTCATTGGTAAAATATATGTATAATTTAACCAAATTTCACCTTCAAAATATAAAATAACTTTTTCCGAGTTTTTTTTTTTTTTTTTGTGAATAACTTCTTTAAGAAAGCATGCACGTGAGTCCAATATACATGAATAGTTGAACAAACGGACATGGTGTGTGATTGTTAAGTTCAATGTCTATTAGCAACTCTTATTTGACATAAGACCAAAGTCGTGTCATTAAACCATTTTAGAGGTATTAAATTTTTTTCTAAACTAAATAAAATAGTGAACCTTAACAATTAATGAATGCCTGATCCCGATAATGAAATTTAACGATGAAGCTTAATGATGAAGTATCTAAACTATGAACTGACTAATCTGCTTATTGGTTCTTATGATGTTGATTCTACAGGAACAGACCTTGTCCTTTGAATTTGTGGTATTGTTATTTTCTACATTATCCATTTGCATTTTTTCACCCATTCCGTTATGAAAAGCTTTTTAACATTATTTTCATGCTATTTTTTTCTTGATCAGCACAAATTTGTTCAGAACACCGAAAGAGTGAAATCTGTTGATCTGCATCCAACTGAGCCATGGTAACATAAAACTTCTTATTGACATATTAAATACGTATTTCTGAAAAGAAAAAAAAAAAAAAGGCTAGAACATGAAATCCCGTTTCAACTTCTGGCACCCCCCAAAAAGTAAATTTTATCATTAGCTATATCAAGTACAAGTACAACAAAAATTTACATCTAACACATTTCTCGTGCAGGGTTCTACTGGGTTTGTATTCAGGAACTATTTCTATTTGGAACTATCAGACAAAGGTAAACAATTATACCTTCACTTAAATACTAGAAAACAAAAACTGGTATTGTTATGTATCTTTTTGCATCTGTTATCTTTTCTTGATGTTTTTGTGGAATTTGAAGTAGGGAGAGTTTATTGTTAACCTCTATTTGTTATTTTATGACAGACTGAGGAGAAGTCTTTGAAAATCAGTGAATCCCCAGGTAAATTTCAACATTTGTGTGATTAATAAATTTTTGCCACTTGTCTTAGGTTCTAAATCAGAGATCTTGTGTTTGTTTCTGAGTGTTTTGTTTTTTCCTTAATGGTTGCAGTGAGATCAGCAAAGTTCATTGCAAGGGAAAATTGGATTGTTGCAGCTTCGGATGACAAATACATTCGCGTCTACAATTATGAGAAAATGGAAAATGACATAGAATTTGCGGAACATAAAGATTATATTAGGAGTTTGGCTGTTCATCCTTTCCTGCCATACGTAGTGTCAGCTTCAGATGATCATGTTCTAAAATTGTGGAATTGGAGCAAAGGTTGGTCTTGTGATGAGAAATTTGAAGGGCACTCACATTATGTGATGCAAGTGGCATTTAACCCCAAGGATCCAGCTACCTTTGCCACTGCATCCCTTGATGGCACCTTGAAGGTATCCCTTACCTCCAAATCTTATAACTACACATCTTAAATTCATTGAATAAGGTTTAACTCAATTGGTCGAAGAGTTATTGTAAACTTTTTATCATCGAGTTCAATTTTGATAGATCAATAAAAAAGAAAAAAAAAATCATTGACTAACATTTTGCTTTAATTGTCCCTTTTTGTATAGATTTGGAGTCTTGATTCCTCTGCTCCAAATTTTACCCTGGAAGGGCACTTGAAAGGAGTGAATTGTGTTGATTACTTCTTAACCAATGACAAAGAATATGTTTTAAGTGGTTCTGATGATTACACTGCCAAGGTTTGTTTTTCAATAATTAATCCTTAGTCCTTAGTTTTATCTGTTTTCATTCTTTTGAGATATTTCCCATCAAAACATTTCTACAGGTATGGGATTATCATTCTAGAAGCTGTGTACAGACTCTTGAAGGACATGGGAACAATGTTACAGCAATTTGTGCTCATCCTGATCTTCCTATAATAATATCAGCTTCAGAAGATTCTACTGTTAAAATATGGGACGCTGTCACCTACAGGTACTTATGTGTTCATTTTTATTTTTATTTTGCTCTCCTTTTATTTTGGTATAAATCCCTTAAAATGAAGTTGACATTAACTTGCAGGCTTCAAACCACGTTGAACTTTGGTCTGGAGAGAGTATGGAGTATTGGATACAAGAAAGGATCATCTGAGTAAATTACCACAAACTTCCTCTGAAAACCAAGAGAAAAAAATAATTAATTGCTATAATTTATTGCTGACTGGTATCACATCGCTATTTCGTGCAGGCTTGCTTTTGGTTGTGACAAAGGATTCATCATTGTTAAGGTGAATCTCATAGCTGCTAAGTGAAACAAGGTGACACACCTAACATACTATTAGAAGTAAATACGAATTTATAACCGTTGATTAGAAGTTAACAATTGAAATTCTGATAAATATATATTTTGAAAAATTTTAAATCTCAACCCTCTAATTTTATAATTAATTATTATAATTCTGAAATATACTTCTCACCTGATCGACTATCTGCTTTTTCAGACTTCAGAGAAGGAAGACTCTAATAAGCTCTAGTTATGCTGAGGCTAACTACGAAGAGAACGTGATATTCAATAGTTGGTTGTTGTTTCTAAGTGTGTGTTTGGATTCACGTTTGAAACGTGAAAAATCACGTTTAACATGAAGCTACACATTGTAGCTTCCACGTTAAACGTGATTTTTCACGTTTCAAACGTGAATCCAAACACGCACTAAGTTATTACCGGAATAAATTAAGGGTTAATCATCCATATATAGTTAGTGTAAAATTTTTTTATACCAACAACTAATCATATTTTTTAAAAATTATTTTATTTTATTTTTAATTTATTAAATAAATATGTAATATAATATTATTAAAAGATATGATTGGTTGTTAATGTAAAGTTTTTACACTAGTAATGTATAAGTGATTATCTCATAAATTAATTTAAAATTTGTGATAATTTTTTCTTATGTAATATGTCAGTGTATGAACCTGTAAGATTAGTGTGTGTTCATTTACGGTTATTATAAATAAATATATTATTTTTCATCTCATTGTTATTTTTTTTTTAATATTACTTATTACATTTATCATTCTCTCTCTCTTAATCTCTCACTTGTTATGACTCAAATTCACCCAAAATAAATTAGATGATTATTAATTTATTATTATCGATCCTTTCATTTGTGTGATATACTTTAAAATAGTTTGAAAACAAAATATATTAGCGCGGGAATCATATATAGCACTTAAATAATCAAATCAAATTAATACGTAATTAATGTAAATATTAAAATAATTATGTCTAATGTGTATATATTTGCAACAAAGAAACATGTGTAAGAAAATACTAACGGTGTGTTTGGATAATTAACTTAAATAAGCAATAAGTATTTATTATATAAATTGTTTGTATAATCAAAGAGGAAATAAAGATAAATGAATTTTATACAGATTAAAAGTTGTTTTGATAAGTTATTTTGAATAATTTATTGAAATAAGTTAAAAGTAATTTAATATATTTACAAATAATAAAGCTTAAATTTGTTGATTATTTTTAATTCAATTTTTTCACCGAGGATTTTTTTTTTTATAAAAAAATATTGTCGGTGAAGGACAATGATACAAGACAAGCCCTTTTTCCATTTAATACGTATGAGTTGTGTAAAGATTTATTTGTGAATTTGGTGTCCATTTTTTTTTTCTTATTGTTATCTACGTGTATAATTTTTCGGGTTTAAATATATTTTTAATATGTGCAAAATAAATATATATTTTTTTGTTTTAGCCTATGTAAAAAATATATTTAGAATCATTGTTTTTATCCATATAAAATCAATAAGCTTTAATTTTGATCTGATAAGATTTTTCTCCTTGAATTTCTTTCTTCTAAAATTTAATTTCATTAATTTATATCTCTAATATTTTTACATAAGTAACATTTTTTTAGGATTTATACGAAATTTTCATCCTATAAAGATTTTGTGTTATTTATAAAAAATATAATAAAACTATCTTGTGAAAACTCATAAAATCCTATTATATGAAAGTATTTTTTAAAAATACAAAAAAGTTGACGATAAAACTAAACAAATAGAAATGATAAATAACAACTACTCTTTCAAATTAATTTTAAAAATAAATTCATAATAATTGTTTTACCCAACAAGATTAATCATTTGCAAAACCATAACATGGATCCAAATAGCCGCGTGTTAAGCTTGTCATTGCCACGGTGCCATGCAACCATGGCTCCATTGAGCATGTTACGATTTGTTCTCAATATATGACGTTGTTGGTTACTGGATTTGTTACCCTTGTAATAAACGTTAGATAATTTCCGAATGGATCTCTTCCGTTCATTGCCTCGCCACCATGGAGCATACGGTGCGACTACGCACAGGGTAGTATCCGATCGAGTGGCATTTTCGTAATCTGTCGTAATGCAAAGCAAGCACCGTTCTCCTTGGTCCATCCTCATGGTATTTACATCGTGCTCTCCTACAAAACAAATTAAAACATTGGCCTCTTTCTCTCTCTCTCTCTCTCTCTCTCTCTCTCTCACTGAGCTCGTCGAATTCGGCATCTGATCTCCGACGATTGATCTCGGCAGAGGCTAGTTCACTCCCCAATCTGCAGCAATGGTGAGCTTCCTCTCTGATCCGCTCTTTCGCAAATGCTTCTGCATTCCTAACAACCTTAGATCTGAACCGAATTCGCTTCGATTTCATGCTTTTCCTTTCCACCTTTCGCTCTTTCAATTTCCAACGCTTCCCTGCCTGTTACTTGAAATGCGCGCCTCGCAATTTGCTTATCTACCTCTTGCTATTTCAATTTCAATGTGATCTACTGTTGAACCGCGCACTGACTCGTGTTTTGTTTGTTTGTTTCCTGCTACTTCCATTTGCAGCCTCTCAGACTCGAAATCAAGGTACTGTTGCCTTGTGTTCTGATCCAATGTTTATTTGCTTTTGGTTGCCGTTAATTTTTTCATTTCCTTGCCTGCGAGATTAGATTTATCGGAAACTAAGCTTAGTGTGAATGTTTAGCTTTCTGGCTACTTAATCTAACGTGATATTCTAATCTTTGATCAGCGAAAGCTTGCGCAAAGATCAGAGAGAGTAAAATGCGTGGATCTGCATCCGACAGAGCCATGGTAATGTCTCCTTCTCTTTTGCTGTTATTTTGTTTCTCAATTTAATTTATGTGAAGCTAACTTTATAATTGGGAATATCTGTAGTTTGTGGGGAGTTGGTTGCTAATAGTGATATTTGTTATGCAAGGTTACTATTGGAATCATTTAATTACTTGATGCCACCTTGTTAATGCAGGATTCTGGCGAGTTTATACTCTGGAACTGTCTGTATCTGGAACTATCAATCTCAGGTTTGCAGTTCTTTATTACTTAGATGCTGTATATTGTAATTGTAATAATATTTTTTCGTATTTCTAATTGAGAAATGTAATGGTGGAGGTGGATGCGTATATATTGGTACATAAGTCAGACACGGGTGTTTGTTGATTGATCTCTAAAAACCACCTTTTGCATGGTTCCTATATATAATGAGCTACTGATTCACAAATAGAGGGACCTATTTTATCCATAGTTTTCTTCAAATTTTAAGCACCTATATTATATGATTGATTGAACATACTGTATGGTGTAATGATTTATTACTTGGAGAAAATGTTGAACGGTATTAACAAAGTTTTTTTTGGTAATATTAATGTCGAAGCATGGCTGGAAAATATTATATTATTTTCTATTTCAAAGTCGATAGGAACTGGGAGTTGTCAGTTGTGTGAGATTTACATTCTGCTAAGTAATTTGACGAGTAAACTGTGTGTTTCATTAATCCAAATCATGCCCTTTCAAAATTCCCAAAGTAAGACTAGGAAGTAGTCTTATTTAACAGATCTCGGAGACTGTGTTGGGAGAGTTTTTAGACTAAATTCTGTGCTTGTGAATATTTTGGATGTCTTTAATCTTTTTTCAGTTGAGCTGTGAGACTTTGGCACATTTCCTTAGTTTGATAAAATTTGAATAATTGTAGATATTATGATCGCCATTTGGCTTTTTTTTAATACTTTACTTTATACAAGCTGGATTTTGCAGTTTCTAGTGTATCGGGATAGGATATAGTATTTGTTTTTTCTATCATGGCATCATGGTCTCAAAATGTGACACATTCGATTTAATCTTCATAGATTGTTATTAAGGGATGATAACTTCCAACTTTCCTGTTTCTATATCAAAATTCTTCAAAAAACTTCTACTTTAAATGGGTCATTGTTAATTTCAAAGAAAATTTGCATGTGCAATTAACACTAGTTTTGTTTATTCCATTTCAGACCATGGCCAAGTCCTTTGAGGTTACTGAGTTACCAGGTGCATTAAGTTATAAACCTTTTATGGTCCATTTGTTTGTATATCTACCTCTTGACGCATTTGCTTGAAGGCACACTTTGCCATGTATATTTCATCATTTCTTACTTAGAATATCACTAGGGCTCTTATACAACATGATTTTGCAGTTAGATCAGCCAAGTTTATTGCACGCAGACAGTGGGTTGTTGCTGGAGCAGATGATATGTTTATTCGTGTATATAATTACAACACAATGGATAAAGTCAAAGTTTTCGAAGCACATACTGATTACATTAGGTGTGTGGCCGTTCATCCTACCCTTCCTTATGTGCTTTCATCATCTGATGATATGCTCATAAAGCTTTGGGATTGGGAAAAAGGCTGGGTCTGTACCCAGATATTTGAAGGCCATTCTCATTATGTCATGCAAGTAACATTTAATCCCAAAGACACAAACACCTTTGCTAGTGCATCTCTTGATCGAACAATAAAGGTATAATTATGTTATGAGATTAAATACGTTTTTAGTTTATGAACTTTTTGTCAATTCTTTGGTATTAATTTTAGTCCCTCAACTTTTGCCAATTTTCACTTTTAATCCTTAAACCTTTTTCTCTTGATAACATTTTGGTACCTTTTGTCAAAATTTTTCCTCATAAAGAAAATTTTCAGGGATTAAAATCAAAATAAAATTTGTTCAAGGACTAAAAACAAAAATTCAGAGACTAAAAACATTTAATCCTTATGTTATTGTTCCTGGTTGTTTCCTTTTATTCAAAAACCAAAATCTATGATCCTTTGATATAATGCATTGATGCACCTGTTATCTTCTCTTTTCAGATTTGGAATCTTGGCTCTCCTGACCCTAATTTTACATTGGATGCTCATCAGAAAGGAGTGAATTGTGTTGATTATTTTACAGGTGGTGACAAACCGTATCTAATCACTGGCTCTGATGATCACACTGCCAAGGTTTTATTTCAACTTTTGTTTCATTTGTTTGCTTGATTTATCTGCTTGTATGCACACACACACAAGGAGAGGAATAACATGGATGAAACCTATGAAACAGGTATGGGATTATCAGACCAAAAGTTGTGTCCAGACCCTAGAAGGTCACACACACAATGTATCTGCTGTATGCTTTCATCCTGAACTTCCTATAATCATTACTGGTTCTGAGGATGGCACAGTACGCATATGGCACTCAACAACTTATAGGTAATGTGAAATGTGCAGATTACAGAGTTATGAGGTTTAACTTCATGCTTATTCCATTTGGCATGTTCCTCTACCTTTTCTTTTTCTCCCATCGTCATCAACATCACTTTTATTGAAACTTGAATTATTTGCTTGTGGTTTACTTTTGACCTTAGAGAGTCAGGCTTATAAGGGTCTGCCTTTCTTTCTTTTTTTTTTTTTTTTTTTTTTTTTTTTAACTTTTTTTTTTT